ATAGAACATAATAAAAAAGTAAAAAGAATAAACAACTTAATTGAAATGTAGTTCTGAATTGATATTTAATGATGTATATTTTCTTTATAGTGGACTTTTACAAGACAAACAACTTTAAAATAATTTTTAAATGATAAGTAAAGACCTGATAGCCGATTGAACTGAGTAGCACGGGTTCAATCGCGACTCAATTGCCTATTTAATTTTATCGTGTGGTTCATTAAATCAGTTATATGCAATGGTGTTAGAATTGGACCGAACAGGCCGGTCGGACCGGTTTGACCGTGATCTGGTAATAAAGCGGTCCGGTCTGACATTTAAAATCGGAAAAATAAAAAATTAGGGTCAAATGACCAAAATCCGGTTCGAATGAGTAAAACTCAAGAACTCAGTCAGTCAGTGAACCAGTTTTCGGCCAAAACGTCTCGAATCACCACTGACTTGGTTATTTGTGGCTAGATTTGAGCGAACCTTCACAGACTTAGTAGTGGGTGGCCGGATCTAGTCATGATTGCTCGAAAGATTGTCGGATATGATCATGGTTGATCGAATAGGGTGTCCGATTGCCGGATTTGAAGAATAAAAAATGGAAAAATATAGAGTGTAAGCAATAAAATATAGTAAAAACTGAGGTGAAGTAGATAAAAGTGAAAATAATAAGTGGACTATTAAAAATATAACGAAAATAATATTTTTAAAATATTAAAATTAATAAAATAATTGCATATTAAAAAAATTAATCAAAAACACGGTTGAACCCATGACCCAAATGGTTGTCCGATTCTATAGTCGGTCCGGTTCTGAAAACATTGGTTATATGTACAGTTAAACCTCTATAAATTAATATAGTTCAGACCATCAAAATTTCATTAGTTTAGCGAAATATTAACTTATCGACAAATTGATAATTATTAATTTATACATTAATTAATAACTTATTAATTTATGAAATTACTTTTTTTTTTTCAATAAATACATTTATTTAAAAAAATTTATGTGTATATTATTCATTGTACCATTCGTTCAATACACTATAGAGCCCGTTTCATGAACGGAAGCTCTTAAAGTAGCATACAACGATTTATGTTGAGTTGTGAGAAAACTATACAGAAAGTTCTAACCATGTTAAGAAAGTGAGGGACGAGATCGATGGTAATGTGAACTTCAACAAGAAACAAGCGAGAATTAAATTATATTGTGTTAAGCCTTCATAGATCTATAAAATATGTATTGTACCATGTATTTTAAAAATTAGTTTTATGCATTATTAATTTATATATTATATGGGGCTTCTTAAAATTTTTGAATGTGTATTATCTTATAAATTTAGCGAATTATTAATTTAGCACGTTGTCCCCAAGTCGGGACCGAGAAAATTTATTATTTAATCCAGGTTATTAATGTATGGGGTATTAATTTATCGAGGTTTTACTGTAAATAAATAAGTAAATTTATGAAAATGATTGAAATATATATACTTATCCTAATTAAAAAGAAAAGGCAAAATGGAAGAGGTAAGTGAAAGTAGAAGAGTTTTGTTTAGCTAGTGCCACCTCATAGAGAAACGTAACAAAATCAAACTCTACATTCAACTTGCATCAATCATTCATTTGGACAATATTTAGGTATTATCTTATTGGTTTTTGATAGAAAAATTTAGGTATTATCTTGTACTACATCAAATATAAATTAGAATCAAATCTACATCCACCATAAAAAAATAAATAATAAATAATAAATAATAAATATTATATATATATATATATATATATATATATATATATATATATATATATATATATATATATATATATATATATATATATCTATCTCTCCACTATATATATATATATATATATATATATATATATATATATATTTGTTTTTTTATATTTATATATATATATATATATATATATATATATATATATATATATATATATATATATATATATATATATATATATATATATATATATATATATATATATATATATATATATATATATATATATATATATATATATTTCGTGGTGTCGGACTTTTTGGCAATCTAATCACATTATTAATGAACGGCCAAATTTTACATTTTATAGTACACATAAACTTTAGGAGGTCCATTTCATTATTTCTTGCACTTTTCAAATCATAAATTAGTATCACAAATGAATATATATTTTTTTCTTTTCTTTTTTGAGGTGACTAATGAATCAAAGTTCTAATCAATGTGGAGTTATGATCAACTCA